CTGCTGTTCAGTTGTTTGGTCGACCCTCACTAACCCCCCTGCCAGCCTGGTCGCCCCATGCAGCCTGCTGTTCAGTCGTTTGGTTTGGTCGTCCCTCACTAACCCCCCTGCCGACCTGGTCACCCAACGCAGCCTGCTGTTCGGTCGTCCATCTGGTTGTTTCGGTCATGACGACCCTGGCTTTTTATATATTAGGATAGATTCTCTTAAACATTTTTGTTTTATGGTCTCCATCTGATAAGTATATTACTTGAAGTTCTTAATGACCAAATCCTGCTGGTTTTGGTTTACTGAGGCTGGGGGTTGGGGAAGTAATGAGTTGTCATTTTAAACTGTGAGTCCATGCTTAGTAGGGTGTTTTCTATAAGAATCATGTAAGACCTGGCCAGCAGGCTCAGTGGTTGAGCATCAACCTGGTCAGGGCACATGCCTGGGTTATGGGCCTGTCCCCAGTGTGCAGGAGGCAGCAGATCAATGATTCTCTCTCATCATCGATGTTTCTATCTCTCTCTCATCTCCCTTCTTCTCTGAAATATATATATATAATTTTTTTTTAAAGAATCCTGTAAGGTCTGAGTGGAGATGTTCCCTCTGAAAAGATTTTGCTCTGCTTCTACCAAGTAAACCAGAGGTATCATCAACCACAAATCACATTGTTAATTCTTTTATCAATTTCTTGGCTTTAAGATACTCCCAGAAAAAAAAAAAAGGTAGTACACTTGTAAGCTCAAACCTCAAACCTGTGTAATAACTTGGGGTTATAAATTCTCAGGGGAGACTAAGACAGACTGGGCACAGGCTTTGTTGTTTGGGGGTAGGAGGCTCTCCACTCCAGTGCACTACTTCTAACAGATCCAAAGCTCTCTCTCCTGATGGCATATAGGCATTAAAACCAAGCAACTCGATTACTAATATTGTCAAAACCCAACCACATTCAGAATCACGTTGTTGTAAGTTCCCTCTGTTGCTGCTATGGTTGCTGTTGTCTGAGTTGTGGGGGAAGAAAGGCAGTATTTCTTCCCTTACTTTCTTGAGAGGTCAACAGTACATTTAAATAATGTGTTCGTTATATATTTTTTAAAATATATCTTATTGATTTTTTACAGAGAGGAAGGGAGAGGGATAGAAAGTTAGAAACATCGATGAGAGAGAAACATCAATCAGCTGCCTCCTACACACCTCTTACTTGTAATGTGCCTGCAACCAAGGTACATGCCCTTGACTGGAATTGAACCTGGGACCCTTGAGTCCACAGGCCGACGCTCTATCCACTGAGCCAAACCGGTCAGGGCTGTTCGTTATATTTTATCCAGCTACTAAAGTGTTGCATAGTGGGATTTTTTCAGTTATATAGTCTCTATTACATAGCCAGCTTGCTCAAAATAGAAGACCTGGGGATACCATATAGAGATTTTCCATTTATTTTAAAAAAAGGGGGCCAAACAAAGCATTCCTTATTAAACATTTCTTAAATAGATTAACTATCTTAACATGAACTTCAAAAGATCAGAATGTACTTCTCAGTTTTCCTGTCTCATAATAAACCAATATGGATTTATTATATGTGACCATGTCTAAATATTATTGAAGCTGTTTTTATTTTCAAATTCTACCCTCTTTGAACATTCACTGACTCCTATTTTGAAAACTCTTTCACTTGACCTTGCTGCCTCTGACGTACTTCATTCAATCAACCAATAACCATTTGAGTATCTAATGTGCACCAGGCATTTTTCTGGGTAGTGGCAAAACAATTTTGGAGCTTATATCTTAGTAGATGGAGACAAACATAAAGATATACCAGGTGGTGATGAAGAACATGTACAAAAGCACAGCTGGATAACAGGTCAGGAGGTAACAATCTGGTTGGGGCCATGGGGGAGGGGGGAGCAACTACTATTTCCCCCCCTTAACATTTTATTGAAGCAGCTACTGTTTTATAGAAGGTGGGCAGTAAAGTCCTTTTGGACAAGGTGACATCGGAACACCTTTAAAGGGTGGGAGAGAGAGCCATGCAGATATATGGAAGACTAGCTACCCAGACAGAAAGAACTGCTAATATTCCTGAGGCAGGAGCATATTTGACTGCTCCAAAGCCAGTGTACCTGCAGAGGAGTGAGTGAAATAAGGTCAGAGAGTCCATCTCCCCACATATTCCCTCCTCATCCAATCAATTACTCTAACCTTCCCAATGCCTCTTGAATCCATCTCTCAGACTTGGTCTTTGTTCAGGCCCTTACCATCCTTGTTTAGTTCATTTAAGACTGGCTAGTACAACACTTCCCATGTGATACGTGCTCTACATATGTTTGATGTAACGTATTTGGCTTACTTTCTCCAGAACATGTTGTCTTGGTTGGCCCCTCATCAAGGAACTGATAGAAATTGTGCCCCTGGATTTGGTTTCCTTTAGTATTATGACCTCTGGTTTGAAACAATGTGATGGGAAATGAAGTTACATTCATATACAAACTTGAGAGACTAGACCACTATCTATAATAATAAAAGCGTAATATGCTAATTAGACCGGACAGCTGAACGACCTTCTAGACATCATTCTGGACATCCTTCCTGATGAAGCTTTGGCGGTGGGGGCTGAGGCAGCGGCGGTTAGGGGTGATCAGGCAGGCAGGCAGAGGTGGTTAGGGGTGATCAGGCAGGCAGGCAAGAGGTTAGGGGCAATCAGGCAGGCAGGCAAGCAGTTAGGAGCCAGCGGTCCTGGATTGCGAGAGGGATGTCTGACTGCTGGCAGTAGGACATCCCCCAAGGGGTCCTGGATTGTGAGAGGGTGCAGACCGGGCTGAGGGACACACACACCCCATGCACAAATTTTGTGCACCGGGCCTCTAGCTTTATTATAAGCTCAATTGGCACAATACTCACTGAAGATACAATTCACTTTTACACAGACTTATAAATAGAAAAATACATTGACTCACAAAAATATGGCACTTCAATAACAAATTTAAACAATGAATTTCCAAAGAGAATACAATTTATTTATTTCAATAATTAAAGACAGTTCATGTATGTGCACTGTATCAGGTATACATGTTTTAATTGTATATTATGTTTAAGGCCAATAGGATCTGTGGCTAATTGCTCATTTGGTTCTTAAAAAAACAGAAACATACAAAATCATCTTCTTTTTAATTATACAAACAGACCATATAAAATGTTCCCTGATATGTAAATGTAAAAATATGATTTACTCCACTGACATGGCCACTTGAGAAGGTACCACTGTGAGCATGACTCTGCCCTTGAAGTGTCTGAATCTTTCCTCACCAGAATATACAATTCAAATGCATAGGACACAATGGCTTCTTTAGGATTTAAAAGAAGTTCTCATTTTAAGGACAGAAATACATAACATCTTAGTAACCACAGCTAAGTTTTTTAAGGGAGTTGTGGCAAAAATAAACAAAACAAAACAGAATAGGTACTCAAGAAAAAGCCATTTGAAAATAAGCATGTAAAAGCAATTACTTTCCAAAAAAGTTGTATTTTTCTAATTACACTTTGCCAAACATCTGCTACCACAACATACATTTATATTTATTTTATGTAAATACATTTATTTAAATTATAATGTGTTGTTCTCTAAATAGTTATTAAACTTTTTGGAAATTTTAATCTATTTAAACCACTTTAATAAATAAGAATTGTCCCCTTTGACCTTTATAAACTGCCACAAAGCACATTTTAAAACCATCTTTAGTTGGGTATAAAGACACTTTGGCAACATAGAAGAATACGTGACCTTGGCAAGACCCAGCAAATACAGATGCCCCTGATCCCAGTAAAGAATACAGGCTGTAGAACACTTTATTTTCCTTATATTGAGCTGGAGTGCAAATGTAACCACTTAAATTAAATTGTCCACTAAATAGCAAAAGGATGTTTTACGTAATTAAGAACAAATTCCTTCAACTCCGCCAATGCAAAAATAAAACAAGTTGCACAGATCAACAATCCAGAGCCTGATGGTGAAGACAGAAGATTGGTGGTTCACATGCCAATTGAAAGAGGACACCAGACCAACATTACAAATATGAAGAAAAAGAAGCTAAATATTTACTTATTACAAACAACTTAGCATAAGCACCAGCTATGTTCAGATGTGGCCACGTGTGGGCCAAGGATAAATGCTAAGATCACAGTGAACTAAAGCCATGACAATCTAGTTCTCTGTCCCTTCTATCAAACCTGAAGAGCAATGGGAATACAGCAGCCGCACTGGGCATTAAGCCCCATTTCAGTTGCTCATGCTATCGTAAACCACCCCTGGCCTCAGCCCCAATCCCTTCCCCACAAACAAGAATCACAGTCAGTACATACTTGATTGATCCAGTTTATCCAGGGTCTAGAGATATGGCCATAATTTGTCCAATACTCATTTTAAAGAGAATGCTTACATGAATTAATATTTGAGGACCCTGAACCCGATGTTTGTGCATATTCTTGTTTAATATTCAAGGGGTTTAATATTCAAGGCATTTTAGAAGGTCACCTACAGTACAAGTAAGATATTTCCATTTGGGTTAAAGACTGATAGTTTTATAATTGCATCTAAGATCTCGAATGTGAGACACTGGGCCGATCTCTGTTAAGGCAGGTGACGATATCTTCAGTCATTCTTCACAATAAATGCACTCTTCTGTGGCTACAAAATCCCGAATCCTTGAATGATCTGCCATTGGCTAAGTAAGGTTTTAGAAGGCACTTTTGGCTATGTGCAACATTGCTCCTAACTCTCAGGCTGAATCTTAGAGAAATATTTAAAAAGCTGCGGCAAACTGATTTTAAAACTGGATGCTTTATTGATTGGCCTAATCGGGATAGTGAGGAGTCTGAACACAATGCCCGTTAATCCCTCTCTGTGCCGTGTGACTGCCATTGGCTAGGTAAGGTTTTAGAAGGCACTTTTGGCTATGTGCAACATTCCTCCTAACTCTCAGGCTGAATCTTAGAGAAATATTTAAAAAGCTGCGGCAAACTGATTTTAAAACTGGATGCTTTATTGATTGGCCTAATCGGGATAGTGAGGAGTCTGAACACAATGCCCGTTAATCCCTCTCTGTGCCGTGTGTCACCCATAGAGGAGATTACAGACACGGGCCACGCAATTCATCGTGGAGCTCACGTGACTCTTCAACAGCCACAGGCCCCCTTCGGCTTTCCTTCACTTAACTGGTCAGCAGAGGGGTGGCCATTGGGCCGCACCACGCCTTCGGGAATCCAGGACTTGTCCACGCACCGCTCCATCCGCTTCATTATCAGGTCCAGGAGCGTCTCGATCGCCTCGCTTATGTTTGTCCCGTTGGCAGCGCTAGTTTCAAAGTAGGGGATTCTGGAAGACAGAGAGACGACTCAGAAAATGACCGCTAGAGGGAAAGGACAGTGGGCTTTGCCCTTGACAATTCAACTTATAAAATAGAGTACAAATGTGCAGGCAACAAAAGCATTTTACTGCCCTGGCAGGTTTGGCTCAGTGGATAGAGCTGTGTGCAGACGGAAGGGGGCTGGGTTCAATGTCCATCAAGGGTACAGACCTCGTTTGCAGGCTCAATCCCCGGCCCTGGTTGGGACACAAGGGGGAGGTAACCAATTGGTGTGTCTCTCTCACATTGATGTTTCTCTCCTTCTGTCTCTCCCCCTCCCTCCCTTCCACCCTAGAAATCAATGGAAAAATATCCTCAGGTGAGAATTAACAGAACAAAACAAAAGCATTTTACTACCATAGGGTACATTAAAAAGTGAAAAAGACCTGGCCGGTGTGGTTCATTGGTTGGACATCGTCCCGCACACCAAAAGGTTGCCCATTCAATTTCGGATCAGGGCACATGCTGGGTTGCAGGCTCAACCCCTGACCCCTCATAGGGGGGGTGCAGGAGGCAGCCATGGATGCTTGCTCACTCTCTCTCTCTCTCCCTCTTCCTTCCTAAAAATCAATAAAAATATTTTATGTTAAAAAAACAATAAAATAAAATAATTAACACTGCATTCCTAATAGAGATGTAAAACTTCTGAAAGTTTTTATTCCCATTTTACAAATATTAAACTGTGGCCCAGAAAGACGAAGTAACTTGCCCATTTCGCAATGCTAGAAAATAACAGAGCTGGTAGTGGGATCCACAGCTGTTTGATTCCAGTAACCAACTTAGTCATAGGCTCTACTGGTTGCAAACTTACATACATTATATGGGGATTTCCAAAACAGGTAAATCTCTTTTACTTGCTGCA